ACATCTACATATGAATCTTCCCCATTTTCAGTCATTTTAGTAATGGTGTGTTTCAAGTCATCAACTTGTGCCCTAAGAGCAGCCTTCATGAGTGTAACTTCATCCAGATTATGTTCCAGTTCCTCTATGATATTAATCTTTTCATCCAATTCATTCTGAAGGACTTCAATCTGACTTTCAAATGCCTTTAAGTCCTCTACCTGTGAACCTAACTTTCCTTCATACTCATCAATCTTGCTTACAAGAACACGGCCAAACTCTGCCTTTTCCTCAAGTATCCTGGCCTCAAACTGCTCTCTTGTAGCAGTAAGGCGGTCTTCATACTCTGTTATTATCAAAGCAATTTTGTCCTCATATTCAAGGGACACTTGTTCTTTCCTCAGATCAATTTCATTCACTTCTTCAGATAGCTCAGTTCTTAGGGCCTTGAGCTGCATCATATGGTCAGATTTTTCCTCCATTAGCTTGTGCGCATAGATCTGCTCCTGTTCTTCTATGGATATCTGAGATTCTTCAAGCTTGGACTGAAGCTTCTTCACCTTTTCAGCCATTTCTTCTAGAATTTTAGACTTCTCATTCTCTTCCCTGATTCTTGAAATGGTTTCTTCACCAATTATTTCTTTTAACTTTTTAATTTCATCCATTAGAATTTCTTTTTCTTTATTGGTGATAACAATTTCATCTTCAAGAAGGGCAATCTTTTTCTCACTGTCCTCTAAAAGACCTACATTTAAATCACCTGATGATTTTAACTGGAGAACTTCTTTTTCCAAATGCCTTTTCTCTGATTCCAAATTAAGAATCAGCTTCTCAAGGTCTGTGACCATTTGGGTTTGCATGTTAGATGCCTCTTCTTGCTCATCCTCAAACTTTTGTTTCAGTTCTGCCTTTTCTTTCTCTATCTGCAGTTTCTCCTTTTCCAAACAATTTACTTTTTTCTCTAAATTCTCAATTCTGGAAAAAAGATCTTGCTTTTCCTTAATCAGATCTCTCTCTGACTTAGAAAACTTCTCATCAAGGTCCAGTTTTATTATGTTTAGACGTTCTTCCAATGATTTTTTCTCTTTGTAAAGTTCATCAATGTGGTCATGGAGATCACTGACCTTCTCCGCATTATTCTTCTTCAGCTGTTCTATCTTACGTTTATGAAGCTTAACTACATCTGCTATTCTACCTACGTGGCTGCTCTCTAACCTGGCAACCTCATCTACATGACTACTCTCACTACTGCTAAGTTCCAATTCTAATCTTTCAGCCAAGTTTTTTTTTTGTTCTAGTTCAGCATTTATTTCCATTATCTTTTCATTTGCCTCATGCAACTTAGCCTCATATTCTGCAATGATCTTTGTCTTTTCTTCTTCAAACCTGCGTTTGTCCATCTCGAGCTGATCAACTGTACTCTTCAAAGTTTTACACTCTTCATTTGTCTTTTCCAGCTCATCTTTGAGCTTAGTAATATCAGTGCTTAGTTTGTTTATTTGTTCCAGATGGGATTCTACATCATTTTTCACTTCTGGGGAACTGCCTAGACGTCCTTCCAGCTGGGAAATATATCCACTTTTGTTGTGTAAGCACATTTCCAAATCACTGACTTTGGAATCAAGCTGCTGTATCCTCTCTTCCTTGGCAGCAATGACTGCTTCAAACTCAGCATGGTCTTTGAATGTTTCACTTTCTGAGGGCTTGCCCCTGAGGGTTTCTACTTCTGTAGTCAGCTCTTTTATTTTTCCTTGTAAACGAGGAACATCTGCCTCCTTGTGATTTTTTATTTCATCTTCTTTGACCTCTAGATCTTTGCGCATCCCTTCCAACTCTTCTTCCAAATCTTTAACTCTTTTTCTCAGAGCCTCTAGCTGCTGTTTAACATGATAATCAATTGCTCTATGATCTGTCTCTGTGACCACAGAATGGAACACAGATGTTGAGTCACTGGAGTCCAGAGGCAGGGAAGGTACAAAAGCCAGAGAAGATGATGGCACTTCTGCTTCCTGAGAAAGAGAGAGAGAATCAGATTTTGCTTCTCTTATTTCATCCATCAGAGTTCTCAGCTTTGCCTGAAGTTCCAAAACCTCCATTTTCTTTTCCTCTTGAGAAACTTTTAGCTTTTCCTCAAGATCCTTTGCTTGCCTATTACTTTCTTCCAGAGATGTCTTCAGCCTAGTTTCCAAAGTACTCATCTCTTCTTGCAGTGCAACATAATTTTCCATGGACTGCTTCTGATTGTTAGTAAGAGTCAAGTTTAATTCCTGTATGGTCCTTTCACGGGCTGTTAACTCATCTCTGAATTCCTTTTCCTTATTGTACATATCTGTGTTTAAATTGAAATTTTTTGTGTTCAGATCCTCAAGTTGTTGCTGTAAATCATGGAGCTGTTGTTTATGAGCTTCAAAGTTCTCTGCCTTTTCTCTGTTAGCAGCCTCAAGTTGAGTGAGTATTTTTTGTGTCTCTTTATTCTTTTCTTGTAAGATTTTGTGTTCAGATTGCAGTGAAGCAAAGATATCTTCTAAGTTTTTCTTTTCTTCTTTTGACTTTGCACTCTCCTCTTTAAGGCGAGCCATTTCTTCCTTCAAGGATCCAACAAAGTCATCCATTTCTTTTTGTATTGTTTTCACTTTTGACTCAAGTGACTGTATTTGCTTTGTTCTATGCCGGACTTCAATTTCAAGTTTTTCTTTTTCACGGATAACAGCATTCAACTCCTCCTTATCTACAAACTTTGCTCCATCAGGCCTCAGATCCCCTGATTTAAATTTACGGAGCTCTTCATCAATTGACTTTTTCTCTATCATCACCTTGTCCAGTTCCTGTTCATGAGTTTCTTTAAGCTGACCAAGAGTCTTGTGAAGTTCGTCTATTTCCCCTGTCTTTTCTTCTAAGTCCCTGATCAGATCATCTCTTTCTACCATGACAGCTTTCACAAGCATGTCAAATGTTCCTTGAAGTTCACACATTTTGAGTTCAACTGTTTCAACTTTGCGTCTCAAGGCTTCACACTCTTTCTGTTTGTGTTCACGTTCTCTTGCCATCACTTTAAGATGTTTATTTGTGACTTTCAATTTGTCATTCAGTTCTTTCATTTGCTTTTCCATATCTTGAATCTTTCCAGTTAATTCTTCTACCTCTTTTTCTTTTTCTTCTAAGCTAGTTCTTGAATCTATCTCTGCTTCTGCTGTAGATGTTGCCACTTTTGCAGATATTAACTCCTTTGTCTTCTCTTCCATCTTTGCTTTCTCAGCAATTAACATTTCAATCTCAGTGCGGTATTCTGTCATCATTATTTCCAGTACTTCCATTTTGCGTAAAATATCTGCTTTTTCTTCAGTCAACATAGAGCACTTATTTGTGACCTCCTGAATCTCGCTCATCTTTAGTTCTATATCCATTTTCTTTTTCTTATTTTCTTCTTCTAAATACTGATAACTCTGATTCTTTTCCTCAAGATCTTTAGATAGTAATGACATGGATGCCTTTAGATTATTTACTTCTTTATTAGCAGCTTGAAGTTGATCTTCCAATTCAATGAAAGACTGCTCTTTGACAGACATGCACTTCCCCATGTCATCCTTCACACGCCGCAGTTCAGAAACAAGCACTGACAAAGAAGATATTTGATCACGGACAGGTGATCCATTACCATTTGTCTGTTTACTAGAAATACTGTCATCAGGTGTCTCTTTAGGAGTATCCCTAGGAAGTGAAGACATAACACCATGAAGTTCATTGGTAGTTTCCTTTGATTCTTGCTCACAGTCTGTGAATGCTGATTGCATGGTGTCTCCAAATATCTTCCCTTCATGACTTACATACGTTCCTAATCCACTAATGGGGCCTTCTTGAAATGATGAATTTCTTTCCTTGACAATTACCTGTATCTTCAAATCTGGTACAAGCTCCTGCTCACCATTTCCATCGCATGATTTCTTCTCTTCTACATCTTCTTTGGACCCGTCAATAGCACTTCCATTCTCATTCTTTGCTAAACTGGCTTTCATATCCTCCTCCTTCAGTTCTTTCATTGCCTCATCCACCAAAGCTCTAATCATTTCATTATTTTCAAGATTTTCCTCATCACTTTCTTCATCATTACTCATCTCACCATTACCGGTTCGACTAGCAATATTACTTTGTTCACCTAGCTTCTCTGACACCTTTGTATCATCTGTTACTTTCTCACAGGAAAGTTCCTCCCCAGGTGAGACATTATTTGATTTGATATCAACTTCAATGTCCCTTTTGACTTCCTCCATACTAGCCACATCATCAATCAGTTCCCTGAGATTATCATCACTGCACTTTATTTTCTCTTTGCCTCCAACTCCAGCACTATACCCAACCTCTTTCACTTCCCCAACACTAACTGCACTAGTAACATCACTACAAACAATATTATCACTTGACTTTTGATCCTCAAACTGGCTATTACTAGGTTGGTTAACTTGCTTTAAATAATCACCAGCCTTTGCATCTAAAAGTGCAATCTTCCTGTCTTTCTCCTTGATATCATGTTCCAACGCTTCCAATCTTTCCTCCAGCCTACGCTTCTCTGCCTCAAAATTGTGGAGTTTTCTCTCACTCGCATGTGAACTGTCCTCTTTTATCTGCTGTAGAAGGCGATGGCTGCTGTTTGCAAGCCTCTCAAATTCCATCTTTAAGAGATCTCTATCAGCAGTTAGTGATTGAAGATGTTCCTGCAGCTGCTGAAATTCCAGTACTATCTGTTTCTTGGAGTCCCCCATTGATGATGGATGGGGCTACCTGATTGTGCCAAGTATTATCAACAAAGTGCAAGGTACCTCCACCTTCCCTGCCTTCACCTGCTGCAGCAGCACCCCTTCAGTGCCAACAGAATCTTCTGCTGAAGAGCACCAGCTTGTGATAGATGTACCCACCCACTCTACAGGAGTCCTCCCCTCGACTGCTGGCACTAGGTGTGCCGGTGCCTGGCCACTCTTACCCTGGCACAGGTCCAGCACCTGCCACATTCACCTTACCCCACAACCTGAATTTAGCATCAACCATGCTGAACAGTCTTTACACCACAATTTTTGGCAGAGAGCCATCATACCCGGCCCATCAAACCCCTCTATTATTACCGTCACTTGTCCCCCTTTGGTATGGTCACCCCTCTCCCCGCGTCCGCTTTCTGAGGCTGACTGGAGGGGGCATACCCCCCACAGTACTCCCCACCCTTCCTCTGCCCCGTGTCTGCCCTCTCTTACCCTGCCCCTTGCCCTGGCGCTCACTGTCAGTCCGCTGCCTTTGTCCTCCTCCCCCCTTTTTCTGCCCCCCGCTTCCCGTGACTCCTGCTGCTCTCGTTCCGCTGGTCCGCCCTCGTCCCTTCCGCCGGCACATGGTGGCCTCCCTGTTGGCGATGGCCCGCTGGTCGCTGCTGCTCGCACCTCCCACTGCGACTGGTGGGCGTCGTTCCGCTCCCATGGCCGCACTCGCCCAACTTTTCTTCCTGCTGTTTTTGGCGGGTCTCACGTTCCCCTTTCTGGGCTTCCCCCCTGCCCTTGTCCTGCTCTTCCTCAACCTTCCTGCGCCATCCGCTCCCCCCCCGCCCCCCTCCCTTTCCCCATACCGTTACCACCCCCTCGCTTTCTTTCTGGCAGAGGCACTTCACAGCCATGGAGCAGCAAGGACTGAGGGATACTTCCCCCCGCTCCCTCGTTGTGCCGGCCGGGCAGCCTGCCCCCAGGTCTCTCGTTCCCACCCCACCTGTTCTGTTTCTACACCCCCACTCAACCCCCTCCTCTTTCTCCCTCCCCTTGCCCACCATGCCCCTTTCCACAACACCTCAGTTGAAGCATGCGGATGGAAAGAGGGCGATGGGGGGAATGAAGGGGGGGAGAGAGAGAGAGAGAGAGAGAGAGAGAGAGAGAGAGAGAGAGAAGACGAGAGAGAGAGAGAGAGAGAGCCGGACAGAGAGGCAAGACAGAGATACAGAGAACAGAGTGACAGAGAGATGGATAGGCAGAGAGGCAGAGAGGGGCAGAGAGGCAGAGAGCACATAGATGCAGAGAGCAGAGAGACAGAGAGAGAATAGAGACAGAGACAGCGATGACAGGAGAACAGAGAGACAGGGAGATAGAGAGAGAGATAAGATAGATAGAGAGCGAAGACAAGATAGGAGAAAGAGAGAGAGACATAGAGGAGAGGGCAGAGAGCGAGACAGAGAGAGAGGCAGAGAGAGACGACGAGAGAGAGACAGAGAGAGAGACAGCGATAGAGGCAGACAGAGAGAGACAGAGGAGAGACCAGAGAGAGAGACAGAGAGGACTAGAGAGAGAGACAGAGAGGACAGAGAGAGATACAGCGAGAGAGACAGAGAGAGACAGAGAGAGAGACAGAGAGAGACAGATAGAGAGACACGAGAGAGAGACAGAGAGAGAGACAGAGAGAGAGACAGAGAGAGAGAGAATAGACAGAGAGAGAGAGACAGAGAGAGAGACAGAGAGAGAGAGAGAGACAGAGAGAGAAGAGACAGTAGAGAGATGAGAGAGAGAGAGAGAGAGGAGAGAGAGAGAGAGGAGAGATGAGGAGAGAGAGAGAGGAGAGAAGAGAGGACAGCGGAGAGATAGAGGATGGAGAGACAGAGAGAGAGAGAGAGAGAGAGAGTTAGAAGAGAGAGAGAGAGAAGACGCAGACCGACACAGAGAGAGAGACAGAAGAGAGAGAGAGACAGAGAAGAGAGAGAGAGAGAGAGATCGAGAGACAGATGAGAGACCATGAGAGTAGAGAGGAGAGGAGAGACAGAGAGAGAGAGAGAGAGAGAGAGACAGAGGAGAGGAGATAGAGAGAGGAGAGAGGGAGATCAGAGAGAAGAGGAGAGGAGAGAGAGGGGAGAGATAAGAGGGAGAGATAGAGTGTGAGAGAGAGGAGAGGATGAGAGAGAAGAGAGAGAGAGAGAGCAAGAGAGAGATGAGACGGAGAGAGAGAGATGAGGAGATGAGAGGAGAGAGAGGAGAGAGAGGAGAGAGAGGAGAGAGAGGAGAGAGAGAGAGAAGGAGATATGAGGAGAGGGAGGAGGAGAGAGGAGAGAGAGAGATAAGAGGCTTAGAGAGGATGAGAGAGGAGTGAGAGGAGAGAGAGGAGAGGAGAGAGAGGCTAGGGAGAGAGAGGAGAGAGCGGAGAGAGGAGTAGAGAAGAGGAGAGGAGGAGGAGGAGAGAGGAGAGAGAGGAGAGAGCATAGAGAGCAAGAGAGCGAGTAGAGCAGAGCGAGCCATAGATAGCAGGAGGAGCGCAGAGACGCGAGTCGAAGGAGCAGAGAGAGCGAGAGAGCAGGATAGAGGGAGATGATAGAGGAGATAGGAGAGAGCAGGGAGAGCGGAGAGAGGGAGAGCGAGGGAGAGAGGAGAGAGAGGAGATTAGAGTAGAGAGAGTACGGAGAGAGGAGAGAGAGAGAGAGGAAGAGAGCCGGAGAGAGAGGGAGAGAGAGGGAGAGAGGAGAGAGGAGAGGGAGAGATTATATAGAGGAGAAGAGGAGGAGAGAGAGTGGAG